TTTTGAACATAATTTTTTTATCGATTTTGGCACAAAAATATAATAATAATACTTTTGTCTGTAAAATGTGACTTTTTATTATTATTATTATTATTATTAATACATTATTATTATTATTATTATTATTATTATTATTATTATTATTATTATTATATAAAAAAAAAACGATTTCTCATAGAAATTCAACGCACGTGTACCAATTATAATATACTGCACTTTTATTTTTAGTAAAAAAAAAAAAAAACAATAATTCATTACGATCGTTATCGTTTTATTTTTGAAATATTTATAAACATTTTTTTTTTTTTTTTTTGCCTATTTTTATTTGTCTTTTTATTTGTATAAGCAATAAGTTAAGTTTGGTAAAAATACAAATAATTATTTCTTCTCGATTATCTTTACACCGTTATGTTGTTTATTTGTGTAATATTATTGTTTCCGAATAGACACGACTCTATTCGTTTACCGATTGTCTTTCACAAGTACCTACACGTACAATAATAATAATAATAACAATCATCATCGTTATTATTATAATTATCTCTGTGCTGTTTACTTCACATAGCCGACGATAGATAAATGGATGAGCCACGGCTGCGACATTGTAATGTCAGTTCTGCGTTTCCGGGGTAGGTTTATTTATTTTTCGAGAGAATTTCGGTTAACGTTTTGATGTTACGGCATTTTATCGCGACCGGTCGCCAACGCGGGCGACACAACACGTGCAGACAATTGCGTAGACATCAAAACGTAGGCCGTTCCCGTTAACGCTGCCCACATCAAGTAGCGCCGCGTCCCGAGCAAAATAGAAAAGTTCCCGTACCTCTCTCTATTAGGACGTTTCCCGAGCTAATTCGCTAGAAATTAACCGTCCGTTTCTCAATCTTATCTTCTCATGTAAATAACGTCACCAGTGTAAACCGCACGACCGTGTTCGTTTTCCCCGGCGCCGCGTCTTCTGGTAGCGTTTGACAGACCGTAGTCTAAATTGTCGATCATTTCAAACGTCTAATTACGTTTTATCTAACGAAACCGACCGTGCGTGTGATGGCACTATGATGTGTAGCTTCCGCGGCCCATCCATGCGTCTATTATTAACGATCTATGGTTAACGTAGTGCCGTCGGATTTGTAGTTTTATCTTTTGTTTTTTTTTTTTTTTTAACGAATCTTCAGAAAAAAAAAAAAAAAAAAAAAAAAAACCACCAAAAAAAATTTTTTTAATACCTACTATAATAATAGCTCAATCTATATTTATTTTATTTTATTTTTTTTTTTTCAATTTAATTGAAAGTCACTATAATAATATTTTATGTAATATATATATATAAAATATTATGTAATTTTTTTTTTTTTTTTTTTGTTTATACAAATTATTATTCTTGCACCACGTCGTGCTCAAAGTTTAGATAATGTATTAATTTCTATTCCAAATCGAATGTCGCTGCCTTTTACCGGGGTGTTTTGTTATATTATTATTATTATTGTATCATTATTATTGTATTATTATTATTATTATTATTATTATTATTATTATTTCCATTATTATTTTACTATTATTATTATTATTATTATTATTATTATTATTATTATTATTATTATTGTGATATTAATAACGATAATCATTACGATATTGTAGTAGACTGGTTTTTTTTTCTTGTTTATGTTTAGAAAAAAAAAAAAAAAAATTATTTGAGACTTCCACGCATATAATAATAGAAATACCTATGTGTTTGTTTACTTACTATAGTCCGTAAGTCTTCGTTTTCTTTGCCTCGTTTTTTTTTTATTTTTTTTTTTATTTATTTTTGTTCAATTTTTGTAGTCGTGTAATATGTTGTTTATTCGATTCGATTAAATTTATTTTCCACGCGATTTTAATTCACATTGTAAATTATATATGATAAGCACGGGTTAGGCAAATGGAATAAAAACGAAAACAAAAAAATGTATTTATAAATTTAGTGCTCGTGTACAAAAATGTGATTCAAAAATATTCGCTATGCAAAACGAAATGAATTAACATGGTTTCTGAAAAAAAAAAAAAATGTGTACTGATTTCTCCGCATCCGATTTGTTATTTTAGAAATTCGATACCGCGCGGTAGTTGTAGTTGTTGACGTTATCAAATTGACTGTGATTGTTGATGAATTGGTTAACTACCAATTTTTCGGAAATTTCCCATCGATCAACAATTGAATTGTTATTCACAATATAAATTGAGATACATAACCAGGTATTTGTAATCGGTAGATGATAACGTGAAAATCGCCTCTCTCCCCCTTGGTCCTTTTAAAAATATTATTACTTGAATTGTAAAGTGCCCAAGGCCGTACCGGGTCGTGAGTGGTGTACGAGTGACCATAACATATTTTTAAAGTACAGTATCTGCCTTCTTATATTAAACAAATGTTGGACCTCGCCTGAATATATTTTAGTACTTACGCTATCAGTTCGTCCACCGCCCCTTAAATGAACTTCAGATATGTCACTGTTTGCAACGATGATGACAACACGAGGTCAAAGTAAAAACAAATCGACAATGAAATCTAAACGTGAGGTAAAACGCATTTAAACCATGGATATACTTAGACATAAAACATCTAAATAGCTGACTGTAAGATAGAGGTATGAAAGTATAGGTATATAAAGTCGGCAACAACCATCTTCTATGGTAAGCCAGTGGTTCTCCGACTGTGTTCTGCGGAGTCCTAGGGCTCCGTGAATGTAATCTAGGGGCTCCACGAACACATTTGAATTAATGTTAATTAATTTTGTTTTCTTCATATTACTCGTTTGATTAACAAATAAGGCTTACTGATCAAATTTTGATTAATTGATAGACATTTCCAATTACCTTGTAGTGAGGCTAAATCAAGTTAACTAAAAATTATATTAAATTTATTTCCTACCCTAAAAATGAAAGTGAAAAAAGACGGACATATTTCGCACGTGTGTACTGTTGTAGGTGATAAGTCGGTTAGGTAGTAGAAGAAAAATTGAATGTACATCTATGATGAATAATGATAAACCACTGCTAACGAAAAAACGATTCTGAGCGGAGTGTAGTTTATATTGTTGCTTTATTAATAATATATATATATTTGCCATGTTATGGTAAAATAATAACATAGGTATAAAAATATTATGTGAAGATAAGATAAAATCTACATAGGTCGACAAGGAGAAATATCAATTTTGGTAGAGCATTATTTAGGTTGGGTTTGAGCTCACTACTATAATAATATGATATTCATAGTCAAAGTGAAATATACTCTTTTTTTTGCTTTATAGTTATAAACTTCTTACAATATTATTATAATTTAGACACCGTCTTTAATATATAAAAAATACACACTTGAAATTATTGTCTATTTGTTTATAATTATTAATTATTAAAAAAATTTAAGTTGTCTTTATGATCACTATTCTAAAAATAAGAGTGGTTTGGAGTAGGAAGATTACTTTTGATCCATATTATATGAAAGGTCAAAGGTTTTTAATGAAAACATAAAAACTATAACCAAAATTTAAATTATTGTGATTAAGGAAATAACTCCCCAAAATGATCATTGGATTTTGGACTATGGGTCCGCTCCAAAATTAAATTTTGGAGTGACGTGGATACGTCACTGCATTCTGTGTTGTATATAATAACTTCTAATAATATGATATGTTGCACAACTATTTTTTTATGTATTTTTTTGTTTTTTAAATCTAAAGTCTATCCCAACATTTTCGTTAAGGGGATCCACACGGCTGGAGCTCGATCGGACATGTCTAGGTTGCCCGGGTGATAGATCCGCCACTGAGAAAAAAATCGGTCGTTGGCCATTCAACAGGTGTCTGACTTTCGGTTTTGCTCAGTTTTCAATTATATTTTTTTTTTATTAAAAGAAAAATACTACATAAGCTCAATATTTGTATTTACCACAAAGTACGATGTTTAAGGAACCTCCTGTTCTCTGTACTCCTGTTGCGTACACCATTAACAGTGTTTACCTACCAAATACCAATTGTACTTTTGGGTGGTTTTTAAACGACTTGTATAGTAATGTCTAAACGTCAATTGTTTTCTGCATAAAACACTTTCCGGTTTGCCATTGGCGGCAGAATGGTAATCACTTAATCAGTCTTTGCAGGCTAAATACAAAGTTAGTATTGTATAAAATTTATAAAATTTATACTATAAATAATGCAGTTATAACGCCAGTTTACATAAAACTGTTTCGTTAAGATAGGTATTCCATATGATAAGGTATAATATAATAATACGTTTAATTTTGATTTGTTATACATTATTGTAAACATTCACTATTATTAATTTTTCATTTGATCGACTACACAGAACTTCGAAGTTTTTGAACAAACAAAATAACAAAAAAAATATAGACATGTACACAAATACATCAAGTCATAAATTATGGTTTTTGGTGGGAGAGAATTCGATTTTCACACGGATAAATACGCCAATCTTCAAGGTTTTCGAATTAAAATACATTAAACACGTGTATTGTACATAATGACTGGTCATTAGGCTAACAATTGAATAGAAATATAATAAAATTGTAAAAATGAATATCTAGTTCAAATTGTTTCTTGTCGGTGTGTTAGGAGTGTATTAGCATAGATAATTTTCTCTATGTGTATTAGGCATATGGAAAATATATTACATAATATGTGAACCGCGATAACGATTTGTTTTAACGAGCGTTTAAATACAAGAATGCGCCGCTCATAGTATTACGCAGTCGTGCGCGTAAAGCAGATAACACGTTGATTATCAGGGACAAACTAAAATGTTAATAAAAGTAAAATAAATAAAAGTCTGATTTAAACAAACATTATTGTGGTGAAAATATTTAGTGCACACCTGTAATATTATTAAATTCATTTCTGTATTTAAACGTTCCTTTGTTAAGAACTGTTAATAATTCTTATCACATTTTCGTTATCAAGACCATTTGTTTATTTTACTTAATCTGTGAATTCAGTTGTTATCAATTTTATCTCGATTCACGTGGTATAAATCCATAATCTCATAATTACTCAAAACAAAACTGCGATCTACGAAGAAACAAGTTAGAAGTCGAGAACATTGCAGTTTGCAGCAGACAAATTTAAATTTGACTTGCAAAAAATACTCACAAATTAAATATGTGTGACGTCGATGGTGAGTAAAATTCTGTACCCACTTAGAAATAAATTAACTACAAACTAAATTTGTATTCTTACGGAACATATATAATTTTAAAAATTGTGTTTTAGAACAAATAGCTAAATTAAGCCACGAAGAACGTATGGTTTCTACAGTTGCTGAAATTATTCAAAAGTTATTAATTGCACAGAAAGAAAACAGAGATATTAATTTAAATAAGTTAAAATCTCAAATATCATCAAAATATGGATTGAAATCATCTCCTCGGCTAGTTGATATTATATCGGCTGTTCCAAATGATGCCAAGAAATTATTATACCCAAAATTAAAGGCCAAACCAGTTAGAACAGCTAGTGGAGTGAGTAAAATTTATGATTTTTTTTTAAAATTGATGTATATAATATATTTTTTAATATTTATGCCCATGTTTATTTAGGTAGCAATTGTTGCAGTTATGTGTAAACCTCATCGTTGTCCACATATAAATATGACAGGTAATATATGTGTATATTGTCCTGGAGGTCCAGATTCTGATTTCGAGTATTCTACACAGTCATACACTGGTTATGAACCTACTTCAATGAGAGCAATTCGTGCACATTATAACCCATATGTTCAAACTCGTCATAGAATTGAACAGGTATTACATTTTATTGCAATTATATTTTCAAAGTTATAATAATAAATTAATAGGTACCTAACTGTTTGTTTAAAGAAAATGTTTTTTACATTTCTAATAAATAAATCAGTATATGATTTATGTGAATAATATTCTATTTATAGCTGAAACAGTTGGGTCATAACGTTGATAAAGTGGAATTTATAGTAATGGGAGGTACATTCATGAGTTTACCCGAAGATTATCGTGATTATTTTATTAGGAATTTACACGATGCCTTATCTGGTCATACAAGTTCTAATGTCCGAGAAGCTGTAAAGTATGTTTAATAAACATTTTGATTTTGTTTTGTAATCTTAATTTTACCATTTCTGTCCAGATATTCGGAAAGAAGTAATGTAAAATGCATTGGAATTACAATTGAGACTCGGCCAGATTATTGCTTGAATAGGCATTTGACTGATATGTTGAACTATGGTTGTACACGATTAGAGATTGGAGTTCAGTCTGTTTTTGAAGATGTTGCACGCGATACTAACAGAGGTCATACAGTCAAAGCAGTGTGCGAGACATTTAATCTAGCAAAAGATTGTGGATTTAAAGTTGTATCACATATGATGCCCGATTTACCTAATGTAGACTTGGAAAGAGACTTTCAACAGTTTAAGGTTTGATTAAACTACTAAATAGGTTCAATTGTTGAATTATATATATATTTTTTTTTTTCATTAATTATTAGGAATTCTTTGAAAATCCAGCTTTTCGTGTTGATGGTCTTAAAATTTACCCTACACTTGTAATGAGAGGTACTGGTTTATACGAGCTGTGGCGCAGTGGGCGGTATAGAAGTTATTCACCATCCGAATTAGTAGACTTGATTGCACATATATTAAGTCTCATTCCTCCATGGACACGTGTATATAGAGTTCAAAGAGATATTCCTATGCCACTAGTTACGTAAGTACATGGCAATATATAGAAAATATTTCAGATATAATAACTTACATTATAATGTTCAATTTAAAAATTTACTATGCAAAATTAATCTGATGCCAGTAGACAGTGATCTAACCATCATTTATTAATTTATTACACTACTGGACATCATTATTTTATGTTCTACCGTTAGAGCCATTAGATTAGTGTGTAAAGATCAATTACTGTTTATTTTGCAAGTTTTTACATAGTAAACTTCAAATTGTTCAGTTTGTTTAGTTAAATGTATTTAACAAACTTTCAATACAATTTCTTGAATTTGTAGTCAAATATATTAAAAGTTCAAATAGCTCTTAACATTCATTTTTTTGCTGTTACATAAATAAACTTTTACTTATTCTTATTGGTTTTATTTTATTTTTGTGTAAACACATGATATTTTGAAATCTTGACATTAAGATTTGATGGAATATTTTGATCTATTATTTTATTTTTTAGTTCTGGTGTTGAGCATGGGAATTTACGTGAATTAGCTTTAGCACGAATGAAGGATCTTAATTTACAGTGTCGTGATGTTCGAACAAGAGAAGTTGGAATTCAAGAAATACATAATAAAGTTCGCCCATATGAAGTATGAATACATTTTAGCTCAAAATTTTACCTTCAAATTGTGTTTTTGTATGCTTATTTGATGGTACTTTCAAAAATAGTCACTTAAACTTCCTTTGGAAGTTATGGTCAAAAACTTTAAAATGTTCGATTTCCAAAAATTTCAATTTTTTAAATGTTAGTATTTTTATACTCAACATTTTAATGAAATCAGAACTCACTATCGCATCATTCTTGCTTTTTATAATATTGTTACCAAACCATGTAAAACTTAATTACTTAGTTATTTCAAACATTTGCATATTAAAGAAACAAAATTTAAGAAAGAAAACAATAGGACCAATGTTAAATCTTTATTACACACCAAGTTAAAAAATCAATTTAGTTTCTTTAGTATACAAATGTTTGAAATAAGTTAATAACTAAGTTTTATGTGGTTTGTTAACAATAAAGTAAAAAGCAAATATGACTGGTAAATTCTGATTTCATCAAAATGTTGAGTTTACAAATTTAAAATTCTAACTTACAAAAATTGTCCAAATTTTTAAATATTTGGTATTTTAAACTTAAAAACATGATTTTTTCAAAAATAGAGCATTATGAAGTTTTTTTACCATAACTACAAAAGAAAATTTGATAGATTTTTTGGAATTAAGTATGTAAAAACATACATTTCAAAAAAAAAAAAAAACCAAATAATCACTTGGGAGCTAAGCTATATTTATTTCTGTTTATATTTATTATATGATTTTATTTAACTAAATCAATACAATTTTAATTATATTCAAGAAACATAAATCAAGATTAAATTTTATATTATATTTTATGGCTATGGAAATATTATATTCTATTTTCAGATTGAATTGATACGGAGAGATTATGTAGCAAATAATGGTTGGGAAACATTTTTATCATATGAAGACCCTGAACAAGACATTTTAATTGGTTTACTGAGATTGCGAAAATGTACTGATTCATTTAGGTATTAAAATTATTAAAAATATAGATTGGATCGATTGTTTTAAGCTATTAAATTGTGTATATGTTATATCCAGACCAGAGTTAAAGGGACGAGTTTCAATCATAAGAGAGTTGCATGTATATGGTAGTGTAGTGCCTGTTCGATCGAGAGACCCAACTAAGTTCCAACATCAAGGTTTCGGAATGTTATTAATGGAAGAAGCTGAAAGAATAGCTTTAGAAGAACACAAATCTATTAAAATAGCTGTTATTTCAGGTCAGTATGTTATAGTTGTATTAAAGTTCTTATAATATAAATATCTTCTTATCAAATTATTTAAAAATTATGTACAGTTTTAATTTAATTTTACACATTTAACACCCCATTAATTTTACTGAATTGTGTCCATAATACATTATGAACATTAATCAAGTATTACACTAACATTTTTTATGAGTTATAAAAGTTAAGAATTAAGAATGTTATAAATTCATATTTGTTTTTCAATAAGCATACCAAATTCTATTTAGGGAGGTGTGGCAAATTGTATGGTGCTTGGAAGGACCGCCAATTTTTAAACCAATTACTTGATTATCATAATTAAAGTTATGATACGATATGTAGTAGGTTCTCTTTATAATTTTTTAATGAATGTAGTAGCATGTGAGCGACAGTTTAGCTTAATGTGACAATATAACTATATATATATATATAACTATATAACAATATAGTGGTCTAGTACTCCTATATTACTGATCTAAATTTCAACATTTAAAAACCTATCATTTATAAATTATTATTCTAGTATTGAGGAAGTTTATAGCAAACCAATTCAATGGAAAACTAGAAGATTTTGCTACCCTGATATCCTTTGCTACCCATTATCAACTTGTATATTCCATTTACTTTTTTCTTTTTGTATTTTACTTATACCCGTTAATCATTGTTACATGTTCTACGAATATTAATAATAGAAAATCAAGATTTCTTTTTGAGTCCAAAAAATAAATATGGACTGTTTTTAGATAATCATCAAGTTTATTTTATTATATTTCAATTTTGACTAATATTAATAACATAAACAATATCTATTATTAAACACTTAAATATATTATTTTTCTTTAAATTGTTGTTTTAATTATTTATTTTATATATCCAAATTAATAATAATTTTAAACGTATGATAATGTAATAATTAACTAATACATATTTATTTCAGGTGTTGGAACAAGAAACTATTATAAGAAACTAGGATATCAATTAGATGGACCATATATGTCAAAACCATTATAATTTGTATATTAATAATCAATATTCTTACTATGGTAATTCAATAAATGTATAAAATATAATTTAATACTAAGTTTTTTTAGATTCTGAATAAGAAAGGAGTTAATAATTTTCAATGTATACCTGTTAAGTTTCTGTACTTATGTGTATGAAATACCTTATAATTTATAATATGTTTTATCTCTATTGTGTCTAATTTGTTAATCATATTGTTTTATTGATTTGGTTACCAATAAATAAACTAATACTCGATGTATTATTACAAATAAAATAAAATATACCAAGATTATAACATGTAGAGTGGAATTATCTTCCAAAACTTTTAAGGGTGTTTAAGAATTCTTAATAGTGCCATGCAAGTGTCAAAATTCAAATTCTGAGAAATCTACAGATTTATTTTTTGAAATTTTACTTATATTTAAAAATTAATTTATCATTCTAACATTTACCCATATAATTATAGTAAATTAAATTTTTAATCTTGATCAAAAACATTTCAAGAATATATTTTTATTAGATTATGTACTATATGCAATAATTGTAGACTTGAAACAATTCTTTTGGCAACATGAATTGAAAAAAGTTATTTAGTATTCTAAAATCAGTGCTGTGTTTTCTTCAGTAGTGCCTGATGATTTATTTCACCCAGCACTGAACTTTCTCCAACTAAATATACCGATGAATAGCTCTTTTCATTTCTTTTTCAACTATCATAAAGCCAATTATTCTGGTATAAATCATTTTTTACTATTGTTCAACTGGGTTGAAACCATATCACATTTAGATACTAACTGTTGCGGCTGTTTTGCTAATGCAATTTTTAAGACGACATAGACTTGAAGATTATTGCAGTTTCTCTTTGATTCCGGTAAAATACAAATATATGTCAAACAGTATTATAGGAAATAAATAAAAAATACTTCTGCTCTAAACCCTCAAATGTTTGAGGGTTTGATGTTTAAGTTTTATGATAGTTATGCTAAATGGAACAGCTAGTGAGAATAGTAATGAAGTACTTGTCTTCTTCTCCGGGCATTTCAGTTCAGTATATACTAATATATGTGACAATTTCAGTGCTGAAACAAATTCTGGGCTGATTCACGATTATCTCAGCAAGTGCTACTTATATGTAGCATAAATTGAAAAAGGATTAGCTAGTCTTAAATGTAACACTAGTAGATCAATTGGTCCACACGAGCTATTCAGTGTCTTTGCATCAGATATGGTTGTCCTTAAGTTTTTCCATGTGACTTTTATTTAGGAAGTCATTCGACACCAGGATCTTTCTTGAAATATTGAAACTTGGTTTTCAAGTCCGATTATATTTTTGATGTTAATAACTACAAACCAATAACTAGGTATGGGTATCCTTAGTCAAATAGGTAAACTTTTTCGAGAAAATATGAAAAGATTCTTCACTTGAAAATCAGAGCAAGATTTCAGGTAGGAAAGTTATTAACAGACTGAAAAAAAAAAATAGAAATAAAGTACGCATTATAGTGAAACCGGTGCAATACTTGCTGTGCTCTGCCGAATCTAAAAAAAGTGATGGGTTTGCAACTTAAAGTTGGGCTAGATATTTAAATTTTCAATTTGTTACCAGTCCACCATTGAGTGGAAATAAAGTAATAAGTATCCACACATTAAAATGTGCTGAAAAAAAACACAGATTTCCTAGAAAGTTCAAAATTAAGGCTTATACTTAAGAATGAATATATAATGATTAGAACATATTATAATAGATGGATAACAATAATAGAAGAGGTAGACCAAAAACTCCATTTATAAAACAGATCATAAAAGAAATAGGAAAAGAACTGGAAGTAGCAGTAGTGGATAGTGATGAGAGGAGGACCCATTGAAATTGAAATCACTGAACCAATGAAAGGTTTTTAAAAAAAAATGAATAGTAAATTGTTAAGTCTACAACATTTTAAAATTAAATAAAAATGAATTTAACGTTATGATTCATAATGCTAAATTCTATTGTTATTCATATGGTAATATACAAGGTGATCCAGTTAAATGTTTACACTCATTATCTCGGAATGTATTAACTTTTTTCGAAATTTGTTTCATTGAACATTAAGAAAAAGAGGTTCTACAATTTTACATAAATGCGATTTTTCGACACCATTATTTTTTAAGGTTAAACAACTACCTACTTTTGATTTTCAAACAAATCAATGATTACAAAAACACCACGAGTCAGTTTTTTAAAACTTGATATTTGATAAAAACTGTATAAAAAATTTTAAAAATATGTTTAACTTAAGAATAAATACTTACTAAAACATCATATAATACTGATTACATATAATTTTGGTGTAAAAATAATTTAATCTGCACTTATAATTTACTTTCAAAGTTTGAAAAGAGGAATTTTAAAATTTGTCTCTTAACGTTTCTGCAATCATTGCTTCAAATAGTAACCTTTCTTCAAAATTCTATGTATAGATGGAGTATTATTTAAAATAGTTTTTGATGTTCAGATTTTTGGTTTCTGTGAACCTCGAGGAGATATTTCACTTTAAAGTTTGGATAGGGGGCGAAGTTATTTTATAAACAAATTTCAAAAACAGTTAACACTTAATGAGTGGTATCCACTTAAATAAATCACCTTGCATATATAATTAAACTTAACAATTTAATGCATAAGATCAAAGAGTTGCATTTTCGTTAAAGGTCTTTACAAGCTCAATTGTTTAATTGTTAAGTTTAATGTCTTTTTTAGATTTAGGACACACATATTAAATTATTTAATCACAATTTTTATTTAACTGTATATCAAAATCAATTTATTACAAAAATTCAAATTAAAAATGTTTACAAAACGACATCAAAATAATAATTACAAGTTAATAAAAATAAAAATTGAATAAGTGACTATTGTGCTATCATTGGATATAGAGGACAATGAAGATTTTGTAAGTTAAAATGTCAATTGATGGTGAAATGATTATAAAAACGAATATAAAGTCGGGGGACCAGGGCCTAACTTAACGCACATGATTAAAAAAATGTTATTATATTAATATGCATACTGTGTGCAAATGTTTATGATAATGTATGCAATCAATAGGGCCAATGTCGAATGTGATGAGTCGGTATAAGAAATAATTTTGTTTGATAGGGTCATTTATACATCCAACGTATTGGTGGGGAAAACACTGATATTTTTATGTTAAAATACTTAGATATTAAAACCAGGCACTTGAAAAAATTGTAATTAACATACCAAGTTGTTGATTTATAAAGTTATAGATATTAAAAGCTGGATCGCACAATAAAATATTTAATGTAGCTAGATTAAAAATATATTATGTGATCCAGGGTTAATGGTGTAACTTTTAGGTGAAAAAAAAAAATAACTATATAATGTTCAAGCATTATGTAATGCTTGAAAATTATTTAGTTTTTTTTTAAAAAAAAAAACAAGACGTTATATAAGAAGTATCAGTAAAATAACACTTGCTTTTAATAAACAAATTAGCGAGTTGATCAAATGTTATTCATTTTTTTTTTTTTTTGCACTCTTCATCGATAAATTTTTTAATTTTTTCATCTTCTTTTTTCGTATCTGCAGATATTTGATCGTAGACATTCATTTGTTTATTATCGTCAAATGATGTCATTACAGCTAAGGTTACAGCACCTTAAAATTAAAAGCACAAATTAACAAAATGTTATACAATTCATAGAAAACCGAACAGAATTATGTTAAATATTTACATAATACCGCGATAACTGATATTGCTGCAGAAATTATTTCTTTCATATTTTTAAATACAAATGTTAAAAAATTCGAATTAAGAGCGATTTATGATTTTCCTGTACGCCGTATGGTGTTGTTAATATTTTCGTTGGCTAAACTACGCGAAACCGTTCACGGCGTATTGTGCGTGATAAATTCTCAACCTTGGACTTACGATCATAAGATATTGTTAAAGATGTTATGTTACGTTGGAAATATTTTGATAAGAAAGCCTAGTGGTTTCCAAACTGCGCTGCGTAAACACGTTCCTACGTAGCCTACGTTAGGTAGGCAATAGATATGCGCGATTGCACGAAGTGAAAATCAGCAAATAGGCGCTAAAAAAAAAAAAAAAACGGTAGGCAGTAATGACGTGCAGCACAATTAAACCGCCCGAGGTGTTGGTCTCTGACGGTCGGTGAAAAATAGAACGAAATCCTATTGACAACGTTTCGTTTCCCAAATGGAGTGTTCTTTAAAACGGTGTAATAAAAAAAAAAAAAAAAAAAAAAAAAAAAAAAGTGTTTCCGGCGCGGAAAACGTTTTTAAAGGGCTGGTTATAAACGATTGGTAGGCGGTGTGGGATATCATAGTGACTTGCCGAAGCCGAGGTGTTCGGTTTTGACGGCCGATGAAAAATAGAAGGAAACCACGATGACAAAATGGTTATGCTTTTACGAAATGAAATATCGGTAGATCTGATTCTTCTAAAATATGTGTGCGAATTCCTCCCGTCGTGTTGGCCATGAAAAAATAAAACCGTGTCTGTAGCATCGATACGCGATTGTCGTTGTTAATGATCGTACGTCGAAATGCAAGAAATTTAAAATAGCTATGTTTAATGAATAATTTTCGAAAACCCGGTTTTAGATTTCGAATGGAGTGAGTAGTGTATTGGTTTTACAACGACGTTTATTCGTTTATTCATTTTTTTTTTTTTTTTTGTAAATTTTTATACCGTGTACGAAAATCCTACCAGAAATCTTGATTTGAAGTATCAAGTGTGGCACCTTTTATAAAAAGGAATTTTTCTGGGTTGGTAGTTTAAGCAAGACATTTTTCGATTTTCCCAGCACTTTTCATTATAAAAGGGAAAACTGGGAAAAAACGGAGGAAAACGAGAACATTTACGAAAATAATCCTCTTTTTAATTTTAAGTTTTGTTTTTTTATCATCGGTAATTCAGTTTAAAAGGTTTGAAATTTGAACAGCAGCCTTATATTTTTATTTTATATACGTGGTAAAATTTTCAAAACATTTTGGACATTTTTATGCATTTATAGACACTTTAATTTTGCGAGTTTTTTTATGTAATGTTTATAATATTTATTGAGTTATTTCACTCTGTGGGAAAAATTGTTAGATCAAACAGAAATACTTGGAGACTTAACAGGAAATTCATTATAAGTTTACTTGGTAGGTAGTCAATTAGGAAAAATTTGAGTTTATTATAGTATTTTTTTCATATGAATTTTAATAGCAAATTTTGATGAAAATCGACCTTTTAAAGCATGTATAACCGAACTCCACTTAGAATCGTTTTTTGTTACCAATTGTTAATCGTTGCGTACATACACACATGATTTACTCTCTATATCCTACCTTTCCAACTTCCCACCTAAAACAGTGGCCCACCCATGGTCCGAAATATGTACGCCATTTTTTTATTTGGAATTTTTGTTTCCTATGTTAATCTAGGGTTTCCTAGATGTAAACGGATGTATAATGTACATGTATATTTACTTAAAATCCGCAAAAAAGCGATTAAATCGTTGAAAATGCACTTAAAAATATTCAAAAAGCAAAAGTGGTAACAGGGTTTCAAAGATCCCACTCTAACGGTTTTAACCCCATAATAAATGAAATTGTCTAACACTGTCAAATAATTGCCACAAGTCGTTTTCTTTTTTTTAATGTACAAATATATTTGAAGAAAATTACTCATTTGTAATAATCGTTTTTTTAGTATAAAAAATTATTTTTAATAAGTTAGGAACAATAGACAGGGAACCTTTTAAACACCGTCTACCTTGATTGCTCTTTTAAATATTTTTAAAATTAATTTTTAGGGCTTTTATGGCGTTTTTTAGCGCTTTTTTATGAATTTTAAGAACATATTAATCCGTTCCCTATACATTAATCATATTTGGTTGTCATTTTCGTATTTCTAGTTTTCGTTAGCAGATCGCGCTGTGCATTCGTATTTATTTTTTTTCTGAATAATATATTATCGGTTAGTATTGTATTAAACATAAAATTATATTTAAGCCAATAAAAAATATAATATTGAAGTCCATATCGATGACGGAAATGAAAGGGACAAAACGCAATTTCGAATTGACGAAAATATATAACTAAACCGTAAAATGCACTAAAAATATAAATGGATAGTGGAAAATTATTAGCCTCGAAGCATAGGGAAAAAAATATGGAAAACTGTCGTTGTTAATATTTATTACCAATTTTAAAATAACGTTTGAAACTTATTTCGGTCGAATTGAACACACGTGCAAACAAAAAAAAAAAAAAAAAAGGCATGATTAACATTTTTGTTTGACGTTACCTAGTAAATAAAAATTTATATTCAACTACATTATATCTATATATTATGCTATCGGAATTGTTTTCACTACATATTTAAAATTTAAAATTATTAAAATATTCATACTTTAATCCTCGGTGTTGCGCTTGATCTAAAAAATTTTCACCGTTTCCACCGGGAAAATAGGTACCAAATAGAACTAACGATCCAACATTATACATATTTTAGTTTTTCGTCGAATTAAAATTTCTAGTTTCACTTTACATAATGTATGTATGCGAATTATAAAAATATTTTCATCTATTTTCGTATTTTATAGATCTTGTACATCTACAGAAAAGAAATTATTCCTTATTGATGTTTAATTCATAACCGTGCACATATTATTATAGTACGGTTTGCATCGGATTCTTCTCGAAAAGATTCAGGTAAAATATTCGTATAGATTTAAAACGATTTTTCGTGATTTCGGATTAACGATTATTCGCTACCAGTAGGCCGATTTGCCGAGGTCAATGATATAATATAGGGATACATGTTGAAAAAAAAAAAAAATCGATTTTAAAAAAAATAATTGTTCCGCTGCACCCCCTCGGAATTGAAAAGGAAAAAAAAAATATGACGATTTGAGATTTCATCCAAATTCCGTATAGAGTGCGCGTGTCGTGCAAATTATGCGGCGCAGACTTACGCATGCCATATTATTGAATTATTACATTATTATAACGGATTGAGAACGTCGAGTATGTCAATAATGTCTCCAGACTACGAGTCTGTTTACAAGAGAATGTTAATCTGCACATAATAATTTGTTCACGTTTATTTTGCTCAATATTGGTACTCGTCGCATTCTTCTATACGACGTGGAAACCATTTGCAAATCACTTCTGTATACTCGATAACGACAGTTTTACCTCCCCCCCCCAAAAAAAACAAAAAACACAACGATATATTATAAGTAAAATAAAAATATCCTTTTTTTTTTTTTATGATTTGTTTAAAACAATCAATGGGACTTTTATATTATTTCGATTTCATTCTCGTAATATTAAATCTCTAAAACTTTTTTTTTAAGTATTCGAATGCGTATTCTTAATAATTTCAAAAGTATTTTAGCCGAGTATGTACGGCTTACGTAAAAAATGTAAACATCTCATTCATTTTCGTAGACGGTATAAAACATCGATTATATTTGAGAAATTCGATACGCCGTAGTTTTTATTTTTACAATACTTAATACATTGTTTCACCATGAAACGGGGAAAAAAAAATATTTTAAACTCGTTTCTTTTATACTTTTAAGAGTACATACAGTAAACCTACTTAAACTTTTGTCGTAGTTTTCTTTTCGGAATTATCATAATAATAATATCAGTAATGACTTTTATTTACAAAACTTATATTCAAGTATCATGACTTGAAATGTCTGCTCCTATAATATTACCGATTTATTATACTGAGACCTTCAGATATATTCGCCAGTGTACTTACATCCAAGTCGAATTATTATAAAATAAATCCGGTTGCTCCTCAAAGTCTGAAGAACAAAGGTCAACATCTAATCGTATTTGCGCCGTAAAATGTAAACACCGTACCAGAATTTCTCGTTAACATTAAAACATATCGAAATATTAAAAACAAATTAAATACTATTTATGTTTAATTGCGACACGTAAAATATTGCCAATTTTAAAACAACGTTAATTACCATAATTATTACTAGTCCGTAATATTGTAAGTGATTATAAACACAAAATACGCTTTGCCGCACCGTTGGTGTACTACTGTTGTAGGCGGAAAGTTGGAAATGTTTTATAGGATATAGGGTAATATAGTTATTACACGCGTAGTGATAAATCTAACGCCAGACTCATTCGGCAAGTGCCGGTCTAAACGAACACGCAGTCAAGTCCGCTGGACGTCCTGCAGCGTGATTTCTCACACCGAGTGTCCTCCAGAGAACAAAATAATGGTTGGAAAAATGATTGAATCGGTAGACTTCGTGACGAAATACGTTTTATATTATTTATTCGAAAAATACTCTCGTCGGCGGGGAGAGGGGTAACTGGAGAAAGCCCTGGAGTCAAGGGGAAAGTTTGGTCTATCCGTTTTGTGGAGCTTTTTTAAATGAGGGAAAGTGGGCGCGCGGTGAATTCGCCGCGGTGCCGACGTCGGATTTCGAACATAATATTCGGTTGTAGAATACCGATGACGGTTAATGTAAACCGTTCTAAGTACACCCGCATACGTATTGCGTTTAAATGGCGGAATGGATGAAATCCAATATTGTTGGTCACGGTCATCATCCACTGCGTTTTACTTCTCGTTTACCGCATTACAGGACGTTTTGGCGAACCCCCTAATATATTTTAAAATATCGTTATTTTTACTATCCGTTTAAAAGGATATTTCGTGAATCTATATTGTCGACAGCCCGCGGTCTGTATAATAATCTTATGCAAATCGGCGATTACGTTAATTCGACCGGGTCGCATAATAGCGGGTAGGTATGTAGGGGACGGCGGACAGACGGTATTGCACATAAACGCACAACGTTATATTGTTTTTTATTTATTTATTTTTTTTTTTTTTTTTTTTATTATAAATTTAACCTGTATCGGCGATTATCGCTATAATATTATAATATCGCGGCCGTTTTCGAAATAATCATCCGCGAT